ATAGTTTCATTTCTTGTTATCTCGAACTCAAGCAAGTTCTACAAAATCTATATCAAACTAATTACTCTTCTTTTATTCAACTCAATACAATAAAACTTACCCACTACAATCCTAAACAACTCTTGCATCATTTTCCCCATATCTTAAGCTAACCATAAAACACATACCCATCATATATTCCTATATAACCTCCCATTTACATGCATAGAAAATAAATCACATAAAATCAACCCAAATCCAATTCTCTCTTTTTAACTCTTGACCACCTCTAGAAACCAAGCTTATAAAACTCATAAATCTGAATTAGATCCATTAGGCCCTCTTATATTCCTTTGCGCCAAATAAAATTACCTATCTCAGCCATCTACTCCAAAGTCCACCATACTCCATGCATCATGACTTCTCAAATATTATCATCTATTGCATTTAAAGTGACGAATTTCCATATTCAAAACATATAGAGTACATTAATCTGTTCAGCTAGTTTCGAGGAGCTCCTTTGAGGGTCTCAATTATCCACTCAAATGTTCTCTGCCATGACTCAAAACTCAAATGTTCTATGTCATATTGATATCTTCTCCACTATACTTTAACATTCATGCATCTTTGATTTATTCAAGATCTATATCTTTATCACAAATTTCTATGATAAAAAAATCTCCTTATACTCATTTATATTTTTAGCTTTATGTTCTCATATCAAAATTCTCAGACATTTTCCACATCTATGTTCTTAAATATAACTCAAGTTCTTGAACATGAATTCTTTTGTTTGCAATTATATGCTCTTCTTAATATGAATATATTTTGTGAAGATCCCTATATTCAATACTTGACATATTCATATCACCATTTATTTCAATATCGATCTTTGTCTTATATCTTAATCTTAATATATAATTTCTTAATTTTTTTAGCTTTATTGTGAACTACTTGGCATGTTATATATATATATATTAAATACACTTCATAATTATCATATATATAGATTACCAACATGATAATCTACTTACCCAATGTCTCTTAGAAAACGTTATATATCAAAATTATTTTAGCGTATGTCTCAACAGTTGTCTTATATTCAAAGATCTCATCAACTATGTTTTAATTCTCTAGATAGTATAGTTTATCTAAATATCACAACCTTATCCTCAAGTTACTCAGCTTGGATAAAATCATAGTGTAAATGTTGTATCAATCTTTAAATTCCTCAAAAGTTAACATATTAGACCATAAAGATTAATATAAATTATAAATAGCAAAATATATTGAGTTTGACCACTCATGAGATGTAATTGAGCAACAAATACAATACAAGCATTAGTATGTAATCTCCTAATATCATAATAAGTACTGAAAGCTCTCACATGGAGTTTCTTGTATGTACTCAAAAAGGTCTCAAAGGTTATAAGCTTATTTATTTACATGTCCGCTAACTTATTTATGAATAACTCATTCTCGAAGTATATCACTCAATTTTTTTTTTATCTTATTTATGAACTCCCAAATATAATACCTTATATAACATTCATTATGAGTAGCTAGATAAGACAAATTCACATTTACAATTGTAATTATATATGGGAAATGAAATTTAGTTGAAGGAAAATATTCTTTGGTGAATGATAACAATAATGAATCCATTAGTTACGAACCCTAACAAATATCGAGGGAGGTTCATTATATATTCCTAAGGAATACTAGTAATAGTTTATTCTTAATTGATTATAAAAGAAATGCCAATTAAATTTAAAATCTTTTACACCGTATGATCTTCTCAAGATTCATGTGTCCTAAGTTAGAATAGATCTATTCCTTAAAATAACTCTACACATAACTAAGACAAAGTCATATTTTATGTGTTCCTCGTATCAACAACGAAGGCTAGATTGAGCTCCATTTATACCCCCCTTGTCGATAACCAAGACAATACCAAGCATATCTTCTAGAAATAATCAATATATACTTTATTCATTTTTCCCTTATTACACATGCATGATCGAGACTATATATCCTAAGTTCATATATGATAAATTATTATTCTTCATGTGCTAACAACCAAAACAAATTTGAGATATTTGACCTACAAGAAAATCATAGCCCTTTGCTAAGATCAAATGCATAATTGAAAAATATTCATTCATTCATTAAAAGTTAACTATAAAAAATAGGAGTAAATAATATTTTTTTGAGTGACATTTCATATAAAATGCATCACAACTTCATATAAAATTGCTTGCATCATACATTACAAAAAGCATAATAAATAAATCATGATTATTTTCTTTAATTTACAAAATAAATATTATAGATTATTAATCCTTCTAACATATTTATGCAAAAGTTTCATATACTTAAGGATTGGTCTATTTTGGGCATCATGAAAAAGTCTACAAGCAACAATAGAATCATATCTTAATTAATCAAGTGTTTCTCATTTTATGTTTGCCTTGTTAGATTGGTATTCATGATCTCAAATTAGCTACTAATTATCTCCATGAAATGAATACTTTCAAGAGAAAAAAAATGGTGAGAATCAATTTTCCATAACTTAGGAAAGCTCATGAAATAAAAGGAAACAACCAAGTTCAGCTGAACTAATGACTACGTTTGAGAGAGATCCTAGCCTAATTCTGTCAAAAGAGATGTAATTAGGTGTACTAGTGGAAAATTCTATTATGGGAGTTGTGGACAAAATTAACTAAATGTAATGTAATGATGACCACTAGCTAGTTTCATTTTTTAAATATATAAATTAGTTTCTTTTATTCAAATATGTATATCTTAAAATTATACCGCCAAAGGACAGATAAATGCTCTACTATATATTTAAAAGAAAGAAACTATAATTTATTTTGTTTGTCAGATATATCATAGGGAATATACAATCCATCACGAAGGATGAAAAACATATTCTCTTATCGTCCTAATTAGAGAAATAAATTATGAAATCTATTTTCATAATCAATTATAAAAGATATTTAATTTGTCATAAAGATAAATAAAATATCAATCTATCTTTTGATTATGAAATTATATTTAGGATATAAATATAGGTGGTCTGCATTCACAAATTTTTCACCTACCTAGAAAGAAACTAAGATATGTTTATTTTATTATGGGATATAGACACTCTATAGAGGCGATCCCCAATAGTTAATTATATCTCCAAAAAGAATACTCTGAAAATAAAATAATTCTAAAATTCAAATAAGTTTAAGAAAATGTTTAGGATATCTAGATTTCAATACTCATGCTTTAGATTATAAATTTTATAATTGATCTAGGAATTTTAGATTTGAATATGATAAGGAAAGGTATGCAAAGAGAGATGTGTATACAACTTAGACTTATCACTTTCCTAGAGTGAGCTGCGGGCTAACAGTCCTAAACACAACAATCGATGTATGCATGCATAGTTTGATAAGCTCTATCTGAAGAGTCAAAGAGTTGTTATTAAGAAATTTTTAAATCAGATGCTATGCAACATGCTTACAAAAAATAGAAATTACTCGTATTATGCAAATTATGCATGAACAAAAATATATAAAAAAAGCTTATTTATTAATTTATAAATTTATAAAGTACAACTCAGGGTCTATAGTAAAGTAATGACGGCGATGCTTCACCAACAGCAAATTTGGATTCTAATCCTACCATATACATATATAATCAAATGCAACTGCTTATGCTCTTCAAATTCCATGTCTTCTATGGAATTTCAAAAAGAATATCTTCTCAGAAAGAGGACATTGCTTTTTGGAGCCCACTGTACATATATAAGCATATGTCTTTGACTCTTTTACAACTCAATTTATATAAAGAGTCTATAGAATTTAAATTTACATGTCTTTTTCATATACATCATCTCATAAGAAATCCTACTTTGCAGAAACATAAATAAAATAAAATAAAATGCAAGTATGAAAGTGCATTGTGAGCAGTTATATATACAGAAAAATAAATGAAAGTAAATTGCACGACCATGAATTCATTCACTCTACTCTCTAATGCACTAACCAAAAAAGTAAATATGACATCCATATTTGCAGAAAATAAGCATACACATATGGGTGCCCTCTAGGTAAAGGCACCCTCAATCAAACAAATCAAATAACCGATCTAACCTAGGCTAAAGTTGGTTGCTTGGTCGACCCTTCTTAAAAAATAATAATAATAATAATGTAAATCTTGATAAATCAGGTGTAACTGTTTGAAAATTCCTTTGCATGATTGCAGAGTTTTGCATGTGCCCATTATTCGACTTTGCTTCTTCGACGACGTTCCATTCCTGTCAGAGAACAATTATTACGTCCTCTGACCTAACGTAGAGCTACGTTCGGCCGCCAATAACATGTCGCCACGTGTTCTTACTCTAAACCGCGCGGCCCGACGACTTGACCCGGAGCGGAACCCGGGAATGCTATGTTCGCGATTTTCTCGGTATTGCTCGGTATTTGCTAGGTATTGCTTTGCAAAAATGAGAAATACTGCTATGTGAAGACCAATACCATGCAAATACTGAGTTGTACCGAGTTTTTTACAACTCGGTACAACTCAGTATTTGCTCAGGATTTGCTCAGGATTTGCTCGGTATTGCTAAGGATTTGCTCGGTATTGCTAGGTATTTGCTCGGTATTGCTAGAAAAAATACGGTACAACTCAGTATTTGCTCAAGATTTGCTCGGTATTGCTAGGGATTTGCTCGGTATTGCTAGAAAAAAACTAGGTACAACTCGGTATTTTCTCGGTATTGCTAGGTATTTGAAATATATCCAAAAGATGATGAGATTTTGTTCGGCTCGTCAAGGATTTAAAAAAACGCACGTGTGAGAACCCAAAAAACAACGGGTCAGATCGGCGTCTTTTCTTCATGCTACGTGACGCTAAAAATTAGTGGTCAAACATAGAGGAAGTACATTCACTGGACCCAATAAAAATTCCCCGTCGTATTGGTAGTTACGACATTTTGATGGGAAGCAACGACGGCGGCTCGCTCGCTGTGAGTGAAGGTAACTTTCTCCCTTTCGCGCGCTTCTTCGACCAAATGCCATAAATCCGCCAAACTACAGGATCCAGTAAATTCCGGATTTACGGAAAAAAAAGGGAAACGGAGGATTTATCCCGCCGTGAGATTTACGGGGGGCTCAAATCCCGTTTGGCAGGATTTAGCATAAATACTACTAAAATCCTGCATAAATCCTGTTGCCAAACAGCCCCTCCCTCGTCTAATTTAACGAGAGCTGACGTCCCTTTTCCCGCCAATTTCCGAAGAGAGAGAGAGAGAGAGAGAGAGGATGGGAGCGGGGGAGATCCGAAGGAGAGTCCAGAAGAAATTTAAGCTCCGAGGCTTCACGCTAAAGGTCGATGCTTTGGAGGAAGCCCTATCCTTCTTGTCTCATTTCCAGGACGCGGAGGATGAAGCCCTCGACCTCCTTCTTGATGAGATCGACAAGGAATCACGTAACCCTTCGACCTAAAAATTTTCAAACTTGCACTCTTTGAAGCCCTCATCGTGTTTCTAATGATTGTTTCTTCTTATGTGGCAGTTAAATCGTCGATCCTTGACGGGGAGGCAGTTCGACGTGTTGTGAACCTTCTTTTAGAGGCGGAGACCGCCGTAGATCCGACCTCGCCTGCGGTCAGCAGCCGATCGGCTCTACGTGTGGTAGATGCGTTCGTGATCCCGAGATTTTGTTACGATCCCATCAAGCAGGTGTTCTACGAGTACGTGAGCAAGCTTTATTTGGGATTCCTCTTATTGGCCTGTTTAGACAACTATGATTTGAAAGTTTTGTTCTTTGCTAGTTTAATAGCGGGTTGTGTCTGGATTAGTGATATATTTATGCTTTCATTTATTCTACATGCATTGTGAAACTTTCTTAAAGGATCGAATTTCAGAAGGAAAATTTGATTTTATATGCCTCGTAATAAACATAATTGGAGAAATAGGCAGGGTCTTTTTTTAAGGAATTATGCCTGAAAGTTTATTTCATATCAAATTACTCTGACATTTATGGATTGCACATTGAAGTTAGTCGTGAAAATTTTTAGATAGAGCTGATTAAAAGAAAAAAAAAAGATAGTCCTGATTTGAATTCAAATCAGGTTCAAACATTCTTTTACACATGTTGATCCTATGATATCTCCTCTAGCAAATTCGTTTCAAGTCTCTGGTCTTGAGATGCTATTCACAAAGCCTTCTCTTCTCTTCACATGCTGTCGATCTGGTTATTACCTTTTTCAATGCGCTCCCATGCTAAAAATTTTTCTCCTCACACACTGACAGTCACGTTAATGCCAATTCAATGAGCTGCCATCATAAAATCCTCCTCACACATTGTTGGGCCCATTAATGACACATTGTTGGGCCCATTAATGACCCCCAACAATCACCCTTTGTGAATTGCTTTCTCCTCACATCTCGCCAGTCCCATTTGTGAGACCTCAACAAGCTCCCGTTGTGAAATTAGGTCTTGTGATGCTTGTTTCAATGAGCTTCATTGGTTCAAGTTCGATTTTGATTTGCATTTAAATTAAGGTTTGATTTGAAAGTTTGAATTCAAATAATTTTAAATCAAGTTCCCTTGGAGCAGACTTTAATAATCATCTTAAATGAAGTTTTAGATATATTTCCACTAGAAAATAAGTAATAGGTATGTTTCTCCAACTACATCTATTATGATGCATATAAAGTCAAAATTACTTCCTTAAACTCTTTAGTTAATTATGTTAGAATGCTATAAGGTTTAGGTTGATGTGTCAATAGACCACGGGCAATATATGTCAAGTTAATAAAAATGGCTATTTTGTAATTTTGCCTCCCTCAAAAGTTTCTTTTTGCTCTAAATCCTAAAGTAAACTCTTGTTTGTCAGCCTCAGCTTATTTTTCGCAAGCCGTAGCTCTTCTCGTGACTTGCAAGCCCTCTTCCACTCTCTTTCCTCTCCCTCTCTCCTTCTCTCTTGTTCTACCTTTCTTCCCCTGCCCGCGCACCGACAGGCGACAAACGACTTAGGCATTCAGACTTCCTAGAGCAGCGAAGGCGAAGCCAAGGTGAACAAGTTTAATTTGTTTCTCGATTTCTTTCATTGATCAATCCTTTGTTAATTTGTTAAGCAATTGATTTCGCTCTTATATAGTTATATAGTTATATCAAAATTAGCACTATTTCATGCCAAAATTTTATAAAATAAAATTATTTGCTTCTCAAGTGTCTAAATTTTCATATTACCCCTCATTATAAGTTCAGTTGAATCTTTTCTCCTCCATTTCATAGTAAATGTTGATTGTTGTTGATGCATTCATATTTTGGTTACTTATGTTTTGATGTAATTTGAACAATATTTAGTTGTGTTTTATGTTTTTTTTTATTTACTATCCAATGTGGAAAGCATCCAATGATCATGGTAGGAAGTGCTTGGGCATGGCATGACTTGGGTTTGCTAGCGTTTTGGGTCCATTGTTCTTTGGGCTGCTTGCTGTTTCACGATTTGGAGCATGGCTGCTCTCGGATTGGGCTTTTGCTGCTCTGGTTGTGAGCTGAAATGTTGTGATCTTCTTGGTGCTAGCTCATTAATGCTTGAGCTAATGTTTAGCTCATTATTTGGTGGAACAATTACACTCCCTAGCTTATTAATGCATAAAGGTATTCTTCTATATAGCTCATTATTGTGGAGTGGACTTGTGTCTCTTTCCCTTCTCTTTACCCCTTCGGTTTCTTCTCCTCTGGTGCTATTTCCGAAGTGTGGTTCATTCCCCTTGCTGTGCTAATTGCTCTCTGTTACCTGGCTGCCAATTGAGATTTCCTTTTTTTTACCGGTTCTGTTTCTTATTGCCCGTTGGGTCTTCTTTGTTTGCCGATTCTGTTCTTGGCTGCTGTCCCGTGGATGTTATAACCAGTTTCTGGGTGGTTTTTTTTTTTGGTTGCTTTGTGGTTGACCCTTGGTCTTTCATTTTCCCAAACCTGATTGGTTTTGGTTGGAGGTGGAATGGCTGTTTGGCTTCTTTCTTTTGCTTATAAATTGGAGATGTTTTGGAATGAGGAAAGTTGTTGAATATTTTGAGCAAAGCCTCTACCAAAATTTGAGGGTTTATTCTCTTGGAAAAGCTTGATAGCTTGTTACACCCCTCTTTCCTCTCTATTTCGTCTTGGCTTCTAACATCTTCTTCTCTACGCAAGTTTCACTCTACTTGTATACTTCTTCTTGAGCATTTGTAAGTTGTTTGTTGGCTGATTTTGGGAGACATTTGCTGGAGCAGTTTGGTAGGACATTAGACCTTTTTGCTGTGGTGGACCCTCAGTTTGCAAGCCTAAGCACTTCATCATATATTTTCCTACTCGTTGCATGTGAGAAAACTGCTTGCCGGTTGTTCTGAGGATAGTATTTTTATATTATAATTTTATTTCGTTTAATTTGACTTTTCGTTTATCTGGATGTTTGTTTAGAACTTTGGATGTTTGCAAATTAAATTGAATCGAGTTTGGTTTTCATTATCCTTGTGTTCTCCAACTTGGCTTTTCTTTCTTGTTTGTTTGCATCAGTTGTTCCAATGCAAAATAATTTATGAAGATATTTGGTGGAGCTAATCTAACTTTTTTGGGTAATTGGTGACTTTTACAAATACATTATTTATTTTTTAACATTTAATTATTCATATAATAAGTTTGCCCATCCTAAAATCTAAAGCTGGTTCCACCCCTACAATAGACAATTTTCTTGTATAATGGTAGATATATTTTTTGTGCTTGGCATTATTACCCTCAATTCTCTTTCGAAATGATATTTTTGATGCCTCTTTAGGGCATCTCCAACCGAATGTCATTCTCCTGTTTGCACCTCTGATGAGCGTCCACCCAAATGGAAAATGGAAATACATTTTTTCATTTTATCTCGGCAGTGAATAGTGTGACGTCAATATAGGTGTCGCACTATTAAGAAACCCTTTTTTTATGTTAGAAAATAAATATAAAAATTGAGATGAGAAAGAATATACACAATATTTTTTTTTGTCTTAGAAATGGAGTTCGGTTGAAGATAAATTATTGTTTGATATTACTATTATTACATTTTGAAGTGGAAAATAAGTTTTTCAGTTGGAGATGCCCTTGAGAGATGATGGAAAATATGGTTTGTTAAAGGATTTTATTTAGCATGCCTCTAAAACCTCATCGTGTTTTATCACTCGAGCTTTCCATACCTGTACTGTACTTTTTTTATAATTGTTGTAACTTCTAAAGTGTTATTAGGACTATAAATTATTTCAGGTTTTTCACCTATACAATCCATATTGAATAAATGTTTGATTTTCATTTTTTATTTTGTGAATTATAAGTTTTTTTAGTATGGTCTCTGCTAAAATTATTAGTTTATGTAGCAGCGTTTTCCCCATAATGTAGGTATCCTGACAAAATCTTTCTGCTATATTTCTAACGAAGAGAGGGGATGTTGTGCCCTGAGGCGGCACGGTTCATTCTGATGGTCATGTACTTGTTGTATGGGGTTAGCTAGGCCTCAGGAGTCGCTTGCTTGCGAATGATGGTGTGACCTGCTTACGAGCGGGTATGCAACACCTTACAACGAATTAAATTAACTTCCATAAATTTTATGTAACAGGTACATCGGTAAATTATCAATCCACGGGGAAGCTACAGACAAAGCTGCCCTTTACAAAGACAGGTACCAACTGTTGCATCAGAGGCTCACCCGAGACAAGTACTTCTCAAAGCCTGTATTTGATGCTGAAATGGTGGACTCGGAGAGCTGTGAGGTAATCATGCAGAACCCATCTTTTTTTTCCAAGTCGTGTGCTTAGTTGTAACTGCTGACTATTTCACTTGATTTGTGTTAATTGCTTCAATTTAGCTCTCAGTTCCTTTTATGCTTTATTATTTATACATGCCCGTTAATTATTTGTCAAAGATTTTCTTGATCCATTATTCCATTGTGGTTCCATGGGTAAGAAGCTTTTTATGATGTGGTCTATCTATTGCTGCTGCAGATAACTCCCATACAATCTTTGATTGGGTGTATTGGAAGGAGATGGCTAATGGGGGTCATATCTCAACTTGAGGAAGGTCACTTCTATTTGGAAGATCTTACTGCTGCAATACCAATTGACTTGACAAATGCAATATCCTTCTTGCACTTTTTCCATGTTCTTATGAAGTTCTTGTGCTAGTTCGCTTGGAATGATATTTAATTTCTAATAATATCTTTACTTCTGCTAATAATGATTCAGAGAAATGTTTCTTGATAAGAACTTCTACCCCTCAATTAACTCTATATTTTTACTGTAAATCTGCTTATTTCCATGTTTTATTTTTTATCTTTTAAGTTTTTCATTTTATGTCGTTACAGCACCAGTAACTCTGCATTTTATTTTTTGCACTTGGCGTAATTTTGGCACCATTTCTATCCTCACTGATGCCACGGTGAACTATCAACTGGTTCACTGTCACTGTAGTTTTCCAGTGTGTTTCAAATATTTATCATAAAACTTTGAAGATGCATCGAAATAAACAAAGTTCAATACACTATTACTCAATTTGCTGATACCTTGCTTTCCATGTATTTAATTAGTTGCATCCATGATACAAGTATTGATCACAACATTATTGATTAAGCATTTTAGCAGAAATGACTTACGAATGCAGTAATGATCACATACTATGTATCATAGGAAATAGTTCAGAATGAAATCAGTTTTATCTTTCTTGTGGAATCTTCAAAACAGATGAGCATTCACTTGCACATTCTACCATCAAACCCTGAGGAATGGTTTTTAGTGAGTTTTCTCTTTGCTTCACAATCTAATAGATTAAATGAGGTATTCCAAGACTAAAAAAGAATAGTGAAGGCAGTTGATGATCAGTGTTGAGAGATATAATATACCCAGTATATTTGTTTGCATATCCATCCACTTTTTTTCTGGAAAATATTGTAGAAAACTGATATCCTTGACAGTTTACACAAAATCACTTCAGGATTCTTTGTCGAGAACACAGTGATTGTTGCCGAAGGAGAGCTTCTTTCAAATGGAATTTTCAAGGTCAGACTTGCGATTTTTTTGTTTATTTATTTATTTTTTTAGTTTATCTCGCATTATTTGTATATTGTCTTAAAAGAAATGAATTTTGTTATCATGGAGACGTGGCAATTTTTCATATTCACCATCACCATCGTAATATTAATAGTTAATCATATTATGTACTTTCGGTTTTTTGTTGGCTCTGTGTTCATCTTCTGGACATTTATGTCACCAACGCAGGCAAATATCTGGTTAATTTCGTTTTGACATTTATAAATGTAGTCATCTTCTGAACTGGTTCTTGTTACAAATTTTCAATGCTAGTTTCCATGTTGGTTTCCAGCTTTTAAAGATCCTGTTAATAGCGTCTAATTCTGGTTTAACTTGCAGGTCAATACATGTGGATTTCCACCTTTAGAGGATAGAGATGATTCCTTATCTTTGCTCATGGGTCTCGATTTCTTTGGTGGTGGTGTTGTCACAACAGAAGAAAATGTAATTCATGCAACACTTAAATCTATTTATAATCATCACTTCATCAGGCCTAGTAGTTTATTTGCTTTTCCCTTGCATCAACATCTTTAGCCCTGCCATATGTTTGTGTTTGGTTGCCTGCAATGGAAGCCTAGATTATGAAATATAGCAGTAGGGATTTGCAGCGTTTTGGTTTTCTATGTAGTGGAGAGGGAATTTGAGCTGGAGAAGCAATATAGAATGATTTTTTGCTTCCAAGTTCTTACCAACTTGTCGCTGAATTACTTGCCAATGGAGTAAATACATTCTTCTCATAGATTTATCCGCTTTCTGAACAATCGAACACTCAAGTGGAAAGCACCACTTCTAATTTGGGCAACCAAACAACCTGCATAAAAGCAACTTCTTCTCATCCCGCTTCTTAAATAGGAAGTGATTTTTATTTCTCTCCTACAAGCAACCAAGCTCACCCTAAATGCAGTTTCGTTATACTTTGTAGTCTTACTTTATTCTTGTGAAAATACTAAATCAGCCAAATCTTGCTTATAGCTCTTATTCGTTCTATTTTACCTTCAATAGCTCAGAATGTCAGCAATGGAAAAGAAAGCAGAGAATGACATGTTTGTCATACTTTCAGATGTATGGTTGGACAACGAAGAGGTAATCCAAGAATAATTGATTTTCTTCTTTCCTTCTAACATTTATTCTCAGGATGGTGATTTCTATTTTACTTGTAGAAAAGGCTATGGAAAAGCTATCCGTGGTCTTGGATGGTTATGAAAGTTTGGAGGTGGTTCCTTCTTTATTTGTTTTGATGGGAAATTTCTGTTCTCGTCCGTGCAATCTTTCTTTCCACTCGTTCTCTAATCTCAGGTAAGATTATTTTCCCATCTCAGTTCATTCCTGTCTGCTAACTGCTAGCTTGTATCGTGGTCAATATATTTTCCCTTTTTAATGCGCTCTTGAAGTTAAAGTCATTGCTCTAGCAATATAAAGAAAGTAACTTGAAAACTTGTCATGCAGGACGCAGTTTGAAAAGCTGGGAGAAATGATAAAAGCTCATCCAAGGATAAACGAGCAAAGTCGTTTTTTGTTTATCCCAGGTCCTGATGATGCAGGTAACATCAACATTTAATTGAAATTTTCATGACCTTTGCCTATACAATTTTCAATCAGACAACTAGTTCTTCCTAATGTAAATTTATCTTTTATGCTAACGTGAGCAGGATTCTGTTGTGCTAGCCATATTTATATGGTTCGACATATTATGTTGTGCTAGTCATATTTATATGGTTCAATATATTATGTTGTGCTAGCCTGCTACCCTTGTCGTTGACAATTTTTGCTCTATGCTTCCCCTATGCCTTCAAAGAAAATTTTTGAAGTTTTGATGCCAACATTAAAGTCTATAGTGGTTGAAAATGTAAAATATGTGTTGATACAAATAGATTGATTGAGAGATGATTTGATTTTAATGATTTATTATTTTAGGAATTTCAGTTTTAGTAAACTTTTGAAATTTAATAAGCATGCCTATGATGTTCTTACAAGATTAGGATGTATTCTATGGTTTTATGCCATGGTTCTCTATGTTGCTTAATGCAGCTTACCCTCACATGAAGATTGTATGTGATCCATATTCCATGGCAAGTGTGTGCGTCATGAGCCCTTGAAGGTTTTCCTCTACTCATATTCTTGAAACTTCTACTTATTTACATCTTTAACATTCCTTTTGGGTCTTTCATCGTCCAATCTAGTATAGAGGGATTTTGTTTCACTATCTTTTATTACGTTGCCGCCAAATTTGTGATCTCTATCATCCACTCTATTTATGAAAATTTATTTTAAATTGAATGAGGTTTTGTGATTATAAATTGAGTTACGAGGAATGAAGAAAACATTGTATTTTGATTCTTATTATGATTTTATTAATTTTTTGTTTGATGTAATTAATTCTTAACTTCTACTAGTGCAAATGAAGATTGGAGAATTTTAGAGGAAGTTATTTTCTTGTATAGGTGTGAAGCTTGGTTTTATTATTTGGTGATCTCTTATCTTTTTCATCTTCTTATTTTTCTTAATTTTTTAGTTATCATATTGAAATTATCTCAATATCTAAATTATTTATAAGAAGATTTTATATTATTTATTATTGTTGTGTCATGGAATATTCGCAGTGATAGAGGAATATATAGTTTAATATCTTAGCTTTGTATGATGATCCAGCACACAATCAGATAAAATAGAGGGTGCAACATTTATAAGAGACCAAAATTTTTTATGTGGAAAATCCTGAAAATGGGAAAAACCACATGGGTTGGCCGAATTTGAATGAATCCACTAGTATTTGTAGTTGATTACAAATGAGGACCTTCAATGGGGGTAAAGCCTTGGCTTGATTTAACAAATATACATCATATAGAGTGCATTACATGGTGGGGATTGGAAGAATCACTATTGACATGTTCGTTTAGTTAGAAAGACTATAGTCGGTGGGCAACAGAGGTCGGAAAGACCATTGTCGGGTGATGGTGGTCGAAAGCACCGTAGTGGCGGGCGACGGAGATCGAAAGGACCATGTCGGGGGGGACCGAGGTCGAACGACTGTAGTCGGCGATGGAGGTCGAAAGGACCGTAGTCGGCGTCGGTGGCTGGTTGGAAGTTCAACGTCAATTGATGGCCGAGTCGAATTTGGTCCCATTTGGGCTCAGATTGAGTCGAATTTGGTGTCGTTGGGTTCGTATTTTTGAGACGTTCAGTTCGACTGTAAGTTAGCTGAAATTGAAGTTCTGATGATCCCAAATTTAGTTTCAGAAGTTTCCAACTTGATTATCTTGAGATTCATGCCCGATCAAGATAATTTTTTTGATGATATGTCGATTATTATAATATATTTTTATTATAGAGGATATTCTCCTATATTATATTTTTTTTCTTATTGTTTTCTTATCATGCCTATGTATAGGCATGTATATTATTTTACTAGTTAGCTAATTCAATAAAAACATAGTTTTTTATAATTCCCGGTCTTCTAACATGTTATTAGAGTCATGTCCTAAAACCCTCATGATTTTCTCTAAGCATCTTCCCATCGATGCCGCATTCATGTTTTCATTCTCTACCGACTCTTTTAGTGAGATCCGCATCTCTCATTGATTGTTGAGGTACTTGGCTTCCTTTATTTCTTGGAAATATATACACCTATAAGAGTTACCTCTGTTCACTGGTAATGACTATTCCAGTGTATTTTTCCTTCTCAACATTGATCTCTTCATCTACAATCTATTAATACTCTTCATTAATCCCTCCATTGATATCTTCATAAACGTGTCCTGTATTGATATCTGTGATTATATTATTCGTGCCTTCTCTAAGACGGATCTCCTTGTTGACCCTTTATGTATTCACATTGCTCTCTCCTCTGATATTTGGTGCTCCTCTTGGGACACTCGCAATCTATGAGCAACAAAACCTTAAACTACTTCATTTTGGTCATTATTGTTTCCATACTCATGCTTACATCACCTATATCATTTTGAGTTGTGACGTATCTTCATATTTAACTACTACATAGTCTAAATTATTTACAATAATAATTTGCACAATTTATTTTTGTAATATTCTCTTCATTACTGAGGATATTATTTTTTATTGTATTTTTTTAATCTTATGTTGTTTATATATAGGCATATAAATACTTTTACAAGAGAAATAATTTATTATTTTACAATTTATCTCCTTTCTAATACCAATTATTGGTTTGAACTCTTGATTTAGTTCTGCCAAACTTAGCATGATTTGATTTTGATTGTGGCTTGATTTTCAATTGAACATATGGTTAAATATGTAATATTCTTTTGAATTTTATATTTTATTTCTACAAGTGGTTTACTAAATTATCATTATGACATATTTCTTTACATTTTTTTGTTTTCATTTAACTAAATGAGTAGTTATTTAAATTAAAAGTTTGTGAACTACGAAATTTATGTGTCAATTTTTCTCACCCCATCATACATCTGCATTTGAAAATCTTACAATCCTAAGTGTCTTTCATCAAATTGTTATTGAATTGGCTATAGTGACTGGACCTGCAATTTCATCAGCATTCTGTCATGAGAATCTCGTAATACGCATTTGTAGGAAGTAGGAAAAAATATTAATTCTCTCATGTCCAATATTAAACATCTTTTTTTTTTCTTTCTTTCTGTTAATTTTTCTTTAATCTTCTCAGGTCCAGCAAAAGTTCTTCCAAGGTGTGCATTGCCAAACTATCTAATTGAAGAGCTCCAGAAGCTCATTCCCACTGCTATCTTCTCAAGCAACCCTTGCAGGTCAGATCCTAAAGCATTTTGCAGATTTTAACAGTGATGTAATCCTGGTAGAACATTGATGATCTCCAGTCATTGTAAATTACTTAATGCTCAATGGTACAACCCATGAATGTAATGCGTTAAACTCATGAGTTGTATCATTGAAAAAAATCCACATTTGAGGTGCAATTACAGAGAAATAAAGAGAAATTGAGGGGAGAGAATGTGATTGGACATTCTACTTTTCTTTTGGAAACAATTTTTTTCTCTTTTTCATGCATTTCTATCACTCTAGTTACTCGTTGAGGATTTCTTTTTGTGGTATAATTTTGTCCGATGCATTATTTTTGTCACGCATCAAATGCGAGCGACCGTCAATATATATTGTGGTTATAATAATATATAATTAGAGCATTTGATGCGGTATCTATTTAGTTGATTACTATAATTAGGCCATTTGATGCAGTATCTATTTAGGTGAGACAATATGGCTAAGGAAGTTTTCTCAATTTCAGAGTAAAATTCTACACTCAAGAAATTGTATTCTTCCGGCAAGATCTCCTCTACAGGATGCGTCGTTCATCTTTGATTCCACCTTCCTCGGAAGAAACCACTGATCCATTTGAACATGTGAGCTTAGTTTTTTAACTACAACCATATGGATTCACAGATAAGCTATAAGCCTGAGCACTAATGGAATGTTTTCTTACAGCTTGTTGCTACCATTACTCATCAAAGCCATCTCTGCCCTCTACCACTCACAGTACAGCCTATCATTTGGAGCTATGACCACTCTCTTCGGCTCTACCCAACCCCTCACACGGTTGTCGTCTATAATGCTTACTTGAATAATTCTTCTTTCACTTTCAAGAATAATTCCTCTTTCTTAGCTATGTATGAGACAAAAACCAAATACTTAAGTTGCTATATATATTGGTTGCAGATTGTTTTGGGTGATAGGAGTGAGCAGAAGGCCTTCAAATACACAGGAATAACGTGTTTCAACCCTGGATCCTTCTCCAGTGACGGCACCTTTGCAGCATATCGTCCCTGCACGCAAGAAGTTGAGCTATCGGCCCTTGAAAGCTAGGATTTTGAGCCTCATAACAAAACTTTATTCTTTTGGTCGCCTGTAGCTCCTACCTCAAATAATAGGAATATTTATACCGGAAGTTCCATGCTTTAGATTCCCATGATAATGTTATTTGTAATTTGGTAGCATGAGTTCGGTTCGGGGCCCCTAAGCATAGAAAATGTAAACCCAAAAAGAAATGATTTTTTTTTTTTTAAGTTTATTGATTGTAGTTATTTTGGTTTCTTATAGTATTGTTTTTAATACTGATGAAGCAAGTTTCTTGCTCACACTTTGGACGGTCATGGCTTGGTTGGCAATTTAGGTGGTTATTTCTCTATCTGTTTTGATGGGTTCTGATTTTTGAGGGCATGTTGCATTTGAATTTTCGACTGTTATCATCTTTTCCTTCTTGGATGGCCCAAACTTGGCAATTAGGTGCCGGTCTGACTCCAATTTATTTTGGGGTTGTATTTTTCTTTATTTCATACTGGTTGTTGGGCCCTGACATGTATTGTATTTCTCTGACTTGTGGTGTATTGGTCTTATTATCTAATTGATTTTTCTTTTGATTAAAAAAAAAATCATTACAGCCAATTTTATTTAAATATAGAGGGTTGTAGCTCCAGTTAAGTGCTTGTGATCAAGAAGATATTGGGATGCTGAGAGCTTGGATATTGTGTTGGCCAAGCCTCACACCACCAGAGCCTTATTGAGGGAAAGATTATTCTGCTAAAAGCTGTTCACGTTGGCAATAAGAAAGATTATTGAGTTATTATGATTGGATTTAATCTTTTTTTTTAGCGTTTATCGAGATGAGTCTCAGAATCAAAGCACTTCATGTTTATCTTTCTCAGTGTTTATTTAGAGGCCATTTTGTTATCTTATTTTTTTAAAACCAAATTATATTTTAAATAGTTGTTTCATATTAAAGTCAATGAATTGAATTGACTTTTTTTTTTTTACTTAACGCCCTTCAATTTTGAGTTGATTAATTTTGATTGACTTGGAGTTTATTTTAATTTAATTATTATATTTGTCAGTATTATCCACTAAGCTTAGCCGCCTAAAGTCAACCTCAACGCATTGAAGTTCTATTTAATATATAGAATGCATCCAAATCAATCAATGTACTCATTGCTTATATAAAATCAACAGTCGCATTCTCAATCATCTTAGTAGAATTCAATGAACACCATTAATTTCAATGACCATGTATGATCAACAGAAACTAAGGTTTTTGATGACTTTTTTTACTATTTTTTAAAACAATTTTTTAATATTTAAATTATTTTTTTTTACTAAAAAATTCTTTAAAAAACACTAAAAAAATCATCACAAACGAAGTCTAAATCAACCAGTTGACATTAGCAGTTGTGAGATCATCACTTCATAGCTGAATAAGTTTATATGAATGGCTACCAGTGAACCATTTTTAAATTTGAATGCGTAAGAGAAGCCAAGAAAGCATTCCAGGCATCCTTTCCTAGTAGGCCATCATATAAATAATACAATAGAAAATTTTATTTTCATTACAGACATAGCTTATCCAAGACTTATTGATCATATATTTCCCATACCAGTTGCAGATTTTTGTTCATAATTTGTACTGAGCAGTAAACACCAGAGCTGATCTTTCAAGAACTGAATTTCCGAGATGATTTGTAGTGAGATTGTAAAACCATTAAAACATCTTTCCAATTCCATCTTTACGTGGGATGGATTCACCAAGTTCCATCTTCCCCCAGTTTCCTATCATAGGTGCCAACTGCTCGAATTTGTCAAATAACCCAAGTAGGCCTCCTGTGTGTATGAAGAGAATCTTTCTGCCCTTCCATTTTGTTGGGTTTGCAGATATGTCCTTCAGAAGGGCATATGCAGCTTTTCCACTGAAAAGAACAAGACATGCAAGTTTATTTTCAGTAGAGGTATCAAGATTTTTCTCTTGCTGCTAAAATATATTGCATTTGTAGGAGAGAGATGACATAGAAGACCAGCAATTAGAAAAACTACCAATTATTCAAAGACCCAAGTTGTATGATGGAAATATGAAATAGATATACGTACAAAAAGATGTGCTAGGGATGAACCAATAGCTGAAGAACATGTTGAGAAAACTGCTCATGGACCACCAAGTGAACAATAGTTGAAGAGATTAACTAAGCGAAGGCAATCTTCAACTATGCATTAATGGAAATCTACAAATTTATACTCGATGAGAAAGTAAATGATTATATCAAGTTAAATTTTTTTTTAATTATATCAAGTTCAATTAGTTTCAACATTTCGTTTATTTTTGTTCTTTTAATTTCAATTATTTTTGTGCATCCCTATTATATGACCTATGAAAATTATATGCATTATCTTAGGCTTTGTTTGAGATGGTTTTTTATTGCTTTCTAAAACAGTTTTTTAGTATAAAATTTTTTAGTTTAAGAAATTTTGTACTAAAAAGTTGTTTTAAAAAGCAGTAAAAAAGTTATTCCAAATGAAATCTTAATCTTTCCAATTCAATGTTTTGGGACTGATTTATTTGAGTTACAACAAATATCTAGTTTTTTTCTTGAATCAAATATGCATGCCTGCCAAACCTACCAAAGCTGAATCGGTTATATATACCTATCCAACAACATATAAACCTGCCTATTCTATATTACTTGCCTATCCAACAGCATTGTTGGCTTGCCAGTGCTTCAAATTTGACAACTGAGAATCTATTTGTAGTGAATAAATTATAATTGCTCATGATTTTAGGTGGTTCAAATTTCTTGGTGATTTCTTCATATTTATTCGATCAATCTATTATTGTTTGGATTTTAGTTTTCCAATTTACTAACAACTTGTAAAGAGACAAGTTGTTACACTCCTAATGTAGCACAGTGAATGCAGCAACAGTGGGGGGAGACTGGCGGAGGCGAGGCTGGCTGATGGCGAGCGACGATGGAGGGCGGCGACTGGCAGTGGTGGCCAGCAACGGCCGAGAGTGGTGGAGTTGAGTTTTCACTGTATTTGGAAATCATCCAAATCTGAGGAATTCCAAATACACTGGATATGAACTAGAGTGTGAATTCCTTTTACTTCAAAATTTTACTATGCATTTTTTTTACTTCAAACCAAACACCAATATTTCCAAAACCCTTGCATTTGGATACATTATACTCCTAATGTAGCAAACCAAACAACCCTTAGTGATTATAGATGGAAGCCAAAGGGCAAAAAATATTATTCTATTGCTCTATGTTGATGACATGCTAATTATTGGGCATAACATTAGTGAGAGAAACAAATTCAAAAGAAAGTTAAACGTTCTTTGTTATGAAGGGTTTGGGTTCAACTAGAAAGATCCTTAGCATGAGCATGCTACTAAGAAGAATGATGAGCTAAGGTAATCGCACAAGAACTATATAGAGATTAAGAAAATTCCTAAAATATTTAACTTGAGCAAAGCAAATAAGTATTTTCTCCACTTGCGGATCACTGAAAGTTAATATTTGAGAAGAGTCCTAGAAGTGAGAAAACAAAACAGAGATGAGCAATATTAACTATGAATTACATTAGAAAGTTTGATGTAAACCATCGCGTACACAAGGGTAGACATAGCCTGCATATTTAGTGTTGTCAATCAATTCTTTTTAATCTAGGACAAGAACCTATGAAGCATGAACACATGAGGACATAGTCACGAATGGACTCAACAATACGCGATATAGCATAATTGCAAAAATTAGGACACAACAAACCATTGGCACATTATATTTTTGTAAGTATTAATATGAAATCTATAATTTATACATTATCTAATAAAAACATTACAAGATGATGTATAATTAGTCCCTTCCAAATTTCAATTGTAACATATAGTGCATAAAAGAAATTTTATAAAGAAAATAGAAAAATAAGCATTAGTAAAAAGAAAAAGAAACACTTATGGCATAAGCATTCATTAGTCCATTTTAATTGTCACATACTGCACTTATATAAAATGTCAGAAAACCACTAAAAAGTTAATATCAATGTCCTCTTCAAATTTATTGAAGTTAACATAGTTAATGCTAGGGTATCATTAGCACTAGCACTCGTATCCTTTTCAATGACACCTTCACCTCCATCTAGAAAAAAAATATAGTTTTCAAAGATGGCCCATCAAGAGAAAGATTAGCAACTTCAACTATTACAATATCATCTATTATAGTTAATGCATCCTCGCCAATGTCCCACAACTTAATTTCTGCTCGAGTATATTCTGAGTTTTTCTAAGATAAACGATGAATATTTGTATGCAAAAATATTGTATCTTTAACCTATTGAGCATTGATCTTGTTCCTCTTTAAGTGCATTGATAAAAGAACATAGAATCTTTTTTGGGAAAAAAAAAAGATTCATGTGGCCGATCCCGGGATAAAGACATGATGTTGTTGTTGTAATTTCTTCGCTTCTTACACCATCTCTTGAGAACCCAACATATTGTCGTCTCTGCTGTTGTGAGCCTGATAGGAAACACTTGAAGTTCTCAAATATTTCCTATCAATCTTTGAAAAACAGCGAGGATTCTTCACAAAAGTCCGCACAAGAACACAAAAACATTAGATAATTTGTATTATTTGATGAAAGGGAACGGAAAATAGCAAGATACAATTGATACTCTATTCGAGAGGAGGATCGTTCTCTCCCAATCTCTAGATGCCGCTAGAGCCCAAAAGAAATCTAAGAGATCTCAAATTTCAACCAAATTCAAGATACCCAAACCCTAGGAAAATCAACTATTTAATGCATACAAACAAAAGGAATTCCCTAAACAATCCCTATATTCAATTTCCCTCCTAATCTTCCTAAAAAATCCCATGGAATCGCGGCTTGCGCGGCATCCGCCAGAGGCGGCATATCGTCGCGGTTTCTCCTGTGAATCGGTACCGCCTGGATCGGCTAGACCGATCTAACAATACTCCCCCTCCCAAAGATCCACCTTGTCCTCAAGGTGAAAATATGCTCATGTTCCCGTGGAGGTGGCCATCCTTGAGGTGGTTGAAAATCCTTGCCAAATTGCTGAGTCAAGGGCTGCACTAAAAGAGAAACATCCCCTCCCTCCTCCAACCTAATCACATCCAGCTTGTGTAGTCCCACTAGATAATCTTCCCCCACCTCTGGTATGTCCCTAACCATGGTCTTGAGTGATGTCATGGCTTTAGATAGCCCTGCATTTCCCCTTATAACCACATTTCTTCCCTCCACCATTAATTCCATCGTGAGTGCTCCCCAATTGTCCTTGGTTTCCCCCAAGATTTGCAACCATTTCATTCCCAGGATGACATCAGTACTTCCTAACTCTAGTGGGAGAAAATCCTCCATTACCTTAATCCCCTGGATGGTCAACACCACTCCTCTACAGATCCCCTTGCCTTTCTCCACCTTCCCTGTATCCATCATCACTCCATAACAACCGGTATCTATCAATTTCACTCTCAATTGGTCGACGACCTGAGTGGAAATGAAACTGTAGGTAGCCCCACTATCAATTAGCACCACCACCTCCCTGCCCTTATCTCCCTCTTCACCTTCATGGCATGATTCGTAGTAAATCCTACCACTGAGTTCAGGAAAACATCAGCCAGATCCAAGTGTAGCTTCTCCTCCATCTCCTCCTCACCTCCCTCCTAAGTTTCCTCGTTATCTCAGACGGTGAGAACCTGAAGAGTTCGGTCATTGCACCGATGCCCTGGCGTATATTTCTCCTCGCACCTGAAACACAACCCCTTTGTCCTCCTTTATTGCATCTCCTTCTCTGTTAGCCTCTTGAAATTTTCCCCACTCCCTCCTCCTGGCTTCTCTCTGGTGGTCTCATTAATGTTGCCTGATACAGGTCCCTTGGGTGCTAGAAGAGTGGTAGTCATCCTGTAAGAGCCTCCTGAGTTGTTGCTCCTAACTCCCTTCTCTAGATTATTCTGATTTTCCACCAGCTGGGCCAACTTCATGGCCTCCCCTAAGTCATGGGCATCAAAATCTTCACTGCTGCTCGGATCTCTGCCTTCAACCACTTCATGAAGTTTCCCTCCAATACGTATCTGATAATCGCTCCACCCTACTGGTTAGGTGTTCAAACTGTTCCCGGTAATCTGCTACTGATCCCTCCTGTGCCAGAGCAAAGAACTGCTCATAGAAATTTCCTCCCTGGTCAGTTTGGAAACGCACTATTATGCAGTCCTTGAATTCCCTCCAGTTCCTGATAGGTCTCCTCTGGTCTCTCCACTGGTACCATGACAGTGCCTTCCCCTCCAAGCATAGGCCTGTTGCTGTCAGTTTCTCCTCCTCTATTAGCTCATTAACGGTAAATTACCTCTCCACCTTATAGATCCACTTATACGCATCCTCCCCCTCAAAGATAGGCATCTTTCAACTTCCTCACCTTCTGATCTCCACCATCCCCCCTTATTCCTCCATAGCTTCCCCTCTCCCAAGTGCTCGACCCAACCCACATCTCTCGGTCTTCCCTTGCCCTGCCATAGCCCAAACACCCTTCAAATTCCCCTCTTCTTCCTTCAAAATCAGCACCCCGACGGCCGTAAAACCCCTCATGACATTCCCAATTAGCCCCTCTTTGCTCCGCTCCCCCATAGCCATACCTTTCCCCATGTCGATCTCCTCTTTCCTCCCTATGGAAAGGCTCCACATAGGTCTTCTTCTTCCCCCTTCCACGATTTCCACCTCTTCTTCCTCACGGACTTCAGAATTGGTGTTCTTCGCTTCTGGGCCATTTGCTTCGGATGCTGTCGTTTGTGCTTGAAGCTCCAGCATTCTTTTCATCATATCCCTGAGATCAGCCACCTACCCCTCCATGGAAGAAATTCTTTCCTCCTCGATTTCTTTGATGTGATTCATCTCTCCTCGAGTCTCTCCTCCAAAGCATCAACTTTCTTAGCCGTCATTACAATCCGGAGTTTGTAGATTCACAAAATCTGGATTTTGGAGTAAAAAAACAGCAACTTCCTCCTTTTTCGGGCAAAAAACTGCTGCTGGAATTTGCCGAAACAGTCCTCCACCGGTCCCAAGACTTGCTATGATACCAATTTGATAGGAAACACTTGAAGTTCTCAAGTATTTCCTATCAATCTTCGGAAAACAGCGAGGATTCTTCACAAAAGTCCGCACAAGAACACAAAAACAGTAGATAATTTGTATTATTTGATGAAAGGGAACGGAAAATATCAAGATACAATTGACCCTCTAATTCAAGAGGAGGATTGTTCTCTCCCAATCTCTAGACGCCACTAGAGCCCAAAAGAAATCTAAGAGATCTCGAATTTCAGCCAAATTCAAGATACCCAAATCCTAGGAAAATCAACTATTTAATGCATACAAATCAAAAGGAATTCCCTAAACAGTCCCTACATTCAATTTCCCTCCTAATCTTCCTCAAAAATCCTTCCTAAAACGGTCCCGTGGAATCGTGGCATCCGCCAGAGGTGGCATATCGTCGCGGTTTCTCTCGTGAACCGGTCCCGCCTGGACCAGCTGGACCGGTCCAGTGGACCGGTCTAACAGAGCCAACCTTTGTGGATGGTTGATGGGTGTGGGAACTTCTAAACCGAAATAGAGAGTTTGTGCCAACTGTTATGCATGTTTGACACTTGTCTTGTCCAAAACTCTCCTACAGAAGAAAATTTTGTAAATATACCATCATATAGTGAAATGTCATAGGAATGTTAAAGGCCCGTGATCTTTCCTTCTAATTTAAGGATTGGCAATTCTTGTTTATGCACCAGTGCCTATGTAATCGTCTAGAGAACAAAATAAATGAGAATAAAAACCATGTTTAGTTCACGTTTAATTTTTTTTTCTTTTCATTTTACTAAAGGAATTGGAAATTCTTTCAAAACGTATTAATAAATCAACTTAGTATCAACCAAAAGATTCACAACTAGAATAAGCGTTCCTTCGACAGCACAAGCTTCATTTGAACAAATATTATATATATTTGTGACATACAAGTGTAAGACAATAAGAGCTAAAAAATGACAAATTACCTGTAAACAGGATCTAGAATTACTCCAGTTTCTGCTGCCGTGTCTTTAACAAATTGAAGCTCTTCTGCGGTACTGATGGCATAACCCAAGCCCTTTGCCTGAAAAAAGTAAAAAGATTCTTTTCTCAACAGCTGTGACATGGGCATATATATATATATATATATATATATATATATATATATATATATTTTACATTCTGCAAAGTAGCATTTCATGGTATTTTCTTTATTAATTTGGGATAATGTTAGAGATTGATCGATTCTAGATGCATGTCAACAATGGTTACATAGGAACACCATTTTCTCCCTATTTTTTTATTATTTTAAGTTTTGACTTAAATTTGCCCTTGTAAATGAATAAATACAAGCTCTATGAACTAACAACATAGATAGCTTGAGATAAATGCCTCGAAGTGTGCCATACATCACCATCATGATATTATGAGCCAATGACTACATTACTAGAAGCACGAAAAAGAAGCGTTATTTCATTTTATTAGCCCAATAATATGCAAGACTCTCAATCTTGTACGGGCTACCAAATTAGAAAGCTAGATGCTTCACAGTAATATTTAAGAACAATTTAAATAGGGTAAATTTTGAGTGTCTTCAACAAATACAGTTAGAAACCATCAAGAGTCTTCATATGCGAAAACAAGAATACAAACACACATAATGCAGTATTGATCACCGAATGAAAATCTTAAGCACATTTGTAGGCGCAAAAAAAATCACAACTTTTCAACCCTCTTCAAGTGTACATATGTAATAGTTGGGAATTAGTGATCTAGAATACCATTATGATGCCCTTAAATGATTCCTACGCAAAATTATTCTTCTTGGTAAACTACATGCTAGGTCAACCCTAGAAATAACCTAAGGAAAAGCCTTGATTCAAATGCCACAATAGATGTCCCCGCCCTCTCCTCCTTTGTCATTATTGTGTCGTTTCATAGAATATTCTTCATTAATTTGCGATAATGTTAGAGATCACCGAATGAAAATCTTAAGCAAATTTGTTGGTGCTAAAAAATCACAACTTTTCAACCCTCTAGGAGTGTAGATATATAATAGTTGAAAATTAATGATATAATGAATATTATGGTGATGCCCTTAGATGATTCCTATGCAAATTCATATTCATCATGATAAACATAATGCTATGTCAACCCTAGCAACAATGTAAGGAGAAGCCTTGCTTCAAATGCCACAATGGATGATATAATGAATACCATGATGATGCCCTTAGACAATTCCTATGCAAAATCATATTCATTTATGATAAACTTCATGCCGTGTCAGCCCTAGCAATAACCTAAGGAGAAGCCTTGCTTTAAATGCCACAATGGATGCTAAAATCTGAGAAGCCTTGCTTCATCATATACATCGAATGAAAATCTTAGGCATATTTGTTGGTGCTAAAAAATCACAACTTTTCAACCCTCCAGAAGTGTAGATATGTAATAGTTGGGAATTAATGATATAATGCATACAATGATGATGCCCTTAGACGATTCATATGCAAATTCATATTCATCATGATAAACTTCATGCTATGTCAACCCTAGCAAAAACGTAAGGAGAAGCCTTGCTTCAAATGCCACAATGGATGCCACACTTTAACATTGAAAAGTTATCTTTCAAATGGCCAAGATATACAAATTTGCCCGCCATATATATATATATATATATATATATATGGTTTTACAAAGTTCAATTGTAGACAATAAGCAATATGATGAGCTAAGATAAAAAAAAAAATATCTATTTAGCAATATATATGCAAAGCATCACATAAAAGTAAGGGTACAATATGTTTAAATAGCTCCCAAACAAATCCACAGTCAATCAAGCCCAAGTCAAGACAACTTGCATCTACTCTCCCTTTTTCCTCCACTTAAGCATTGACATGACCTTGGAAGTTCTAGGGAAGAAAAGCTCTTTTTTTTTATGTGTCGTTCAGTAAGGTTAGCTTTCCATTTGTATGGCATAACTAAATACTTGATAAAAAAAAAAGTGTTGTGATTAAAGATGCCGAAAAACGACATCATAGAGTTTGAAATTGAGAATTCTGTTGCTCACATCTTGAATGTTGACAATATCATGCATATCAACCCCAGCTTGAAGCCCATCAAGAAGGCCTTGACAATAGTTGTAGAAATAGTCCGGATCATCACAAACAGAGAATGCATGAACCTGCTTTGTCAAACTCAAACTTCTAAGAATTAAAATATCTTGAGGGATCTAGTAAGCATCCAAGATTAGTATTAACATACTTTAGCTTTCAAATTGCTTAATGTAGATCCAAGGGCAAGGCCAGCAATAGTACCCCCACTACGAATAGCAAAAAGGACAAAAGAAAATTTTGAACATAAAAAATTTTCATATAGATGTAAGCTTGATGGAAAATTATTTTATATATGGCTGATTTGAAGTATGAAAAATAATTTGAGCACTGTAGAATGAGCAAAAATTAAAAAAGATCCATCATAACATACATAGAGGGTGCTTATCCATATTGCAGAAGGAATAACGTACATGACTTAAGAATAAATTAAATACTACCTATAGGTAAATTTTTTAGATTGCCAATTTGTTAACTTGAAATTTTTTTAACAATCTTCTTTTTAGCTTCTTTTCTCTTTTCAAGCATTACCAAATGTTATAATGTCTTCAACGTAAACCAATAATATTGAGACTCCCTTGAAGCTAAGTGTTTTACAAATGATATATGATCTCTTTGACTTTATTTATATTTCATGTTGATCTTTATCTTGCTGAAACTTTTAAATCAGGCCTTTGGAGAAGGCTTCAATCAGTAGAACTTATTTTATAGTTTACCTATCAGTTGTTATGTATTTGAACTAAATCCTGGTCGGCATCCATATGCATTTCCTTCTCTAGGTCAACACATTCAAAGGCGCACTTATCATCAAATTATTATACTTTTCAGTCCATATTAGTAACTAATGATAACAAAACCCAAAGAGTGATCATTTTAATAACTAGAGCATAGGCTTCAAAGTAATCAATCATATAAGTTCGAGTACAATCTTTAACAAATATATTTTTATACATTTCTAGTGAACCATATAATTTGTACTTTTATATTAAAGACCCATCTACATTGCTCTGGTTTATTTCCCTTAGCTACCTTCATCAATTCCCATGTTATATTTTTTAAAAAAATTGTATTTTGTCTTTCTTAGCATTATTACAAATCTCCTTGATGCATTAGAAACTTCTTAGAAATAAAAAATATATATAGGATAATAAGAAAGGTTTTGAGACTATCAGAAAATTTTTTATATAATAAGAAAAAGTTCAGAGGATGTTCAGCCTCCTTTCAAAAGTTCTCTTAGTGGATTCCATGATAAGGAGTGATTTAGTTTAATTACGTGCATTTCTTAAATTATGTCGTTTGATTGATTTTGAGCAGAACATAAGGAAGTCCTCCGAAGCATCAGCGGTGTATTACAGGATGCCGTTAGTGCGACATCGAAGCCCGCTCAAATTGAGCGGGTTAGAAATTCTCTCAAAATTCTTTCGATGTTTTCGCCGAATCGAAAAGCGACCGTGAGCAACGACCCACCACCAATCTTCCCTTCCCCACCTGCCGCCACTGGCCCATCCGGCATCACCGCAAATCCAGACAGCAGCAGCGCCACGTACGTCGAATCCTTGCCACTCATCACCAAATGCATCGCCGACACATCCATCGGCGCGTACACAACCATCGACCCCGACGCGTTCGTGCACATCTCCTGCTGTATCAACATGCTACTCTAGTTTGCGCTCACTACCTGCACAATTCGTCGAAGAAAACACAAAGTTCAAAGTTTATAAGAATTAAGATGTGCATATATGTATATATGCTTACACTGGCAGAGCGCAAGGAGTCGGCGTTGCCTTCATCCTAGCCTTTTGCAATATGAGCCATCTCTTGCATTGATCCGCCATTGGAAAGAATGTCCCACTGGCTACAGAGGGTCTCATTGCGGAGAAAGTCGAAGAGGCGGTGCGGGGAGACAGGGAGCCAAACGGAAGTGACGGCGGAGAGAACGACGTCGGGCTGTTCGTTGGGATCCTCCATGCTCTGTCGGGTCATCATCCTGACATCCTCACCAATACTCCCAATGTTCGCCAGGTGGCTCCACTTGCGCGCTAACGAAGTACAAACCCCCGCGCAGAAGTTGTCTGTCATTCTTTGCGCTAATTTTAGCATACTCTGTCTCCCCGTCGGCATTATCCTTGCTTCCACGGCCATTTCATACGTTCAAACACCAATCAACCAAACAGTTAACCATGTTCATACCAGCATGGTCACAGTTGGTGACGGAGGAGGACATAAGGATGGAAGGCATTCGCACTGGCGCTGCAGTGTGGCAACCCATCGCTGCGCGCCAAGCGACATGCTGGAGGGGAGAAGCGGCCAGTAAAGTTGATGCGCTGCCGTTTATAATAAGAATGACAATGTATTATTACTTATTACAGGATGTCGTTCGTCGAAAAGCTGATACGCCGCCACCGTTTAAGTTGCGATGATACAATGATGGAATTCAGACAACAATGGTTCAATGGAGGTCGTCTAACGACAGTGATAACACCAAATAATACTAATCATAATACATTGTTTTAATAAATATATTAGTTGTAATGCCATAATAAATTATTACAAAAAAATTGCTTTTACTTTACTTAGGATCTACCTAATCAAACAAGGGAAACAATTATCCTACGTTTATTTTGCAGACAGCAAAACAGTCTCAAAGTATTCGAAAAGCACTATATTTACTTTACACTGCATTTTTTTTCATGCAACCAAACAACCCCTTAGTTGTTTGAACTAGCGTGAATTGAGGGATTAATGATTTCTTTCTTGAGTAAATTGTAGTGGATGAGTAGAATGGGTTAGGGGGCAAATTTTATAAATAATGACGGTAATAATTATTATTATTAAATTGAATGTGAACAAAGAAAATTTTAAAACACACCATAGTCACTAGAGCTGGTTCCTGACATGGATTCCACTTAGCCATGGAGGGATAGATGGGAGATTGGAACTAAAATAAATTCATTAGCTAGTCACTAGCAATGTCAACGACCGTCTTTAGCATATAAATATATATTATTCGTCGTTGTCATCTATATCAAGCAATCTAGGAGAAATAAATTTAACAGAATTATAAATGCAAAAATGTGTGTTTCTGTATATGTATATATGTATGTATGTATATATGTATGTATATACATATATACATATATATACATATATACATATATATACATATATACATATATATACATATATACATATATATACATATATACATATATATACATATATATATATATATATTGTGCTCCATATATATACATATATACATATATATACATATATACATATATATACATATATACATTTCGTATTTCCTATAGGCACAAGCCCCTATAGTTAATTACCCCTCCCGATAATGAGAGAGAACTTTTAATTAAGGCTAGTCGTCGATGAATACATCGTATCTGTGGATATGAGATATCCGACATATAGTAGCAGCATGGGCATTTGAAATTTGAAGGGTGTTTGAAGATTGTATATTTAAAATTTAAAATTTCATCATCTTGCACTTAAAGCGAATGATAGGGGAATGGATGATGGACCCGATCAAGATCCTATGGTTCTGTCATCCCGGGCCATCATGGTCCCTCGTCTAGTTAGTCAGAGGAGGTAATCGACCCAACCTGATAGAAGGATCCTTGTCGGCAGCCATGGGTTGCTTCGTCCAAGGGTACCTTGTAGACTTGAGGGGAATGCTTGTTTAAGGGGACAAATTTGAATCTACGTTAGCTAATAGAGGGCTTTATACCCTATCAATTATATCCTATTGATTCATATCTCAAGGATTTAATGTCATTAAGGAATGTTTTGGCTCTGGTCATAATCGGTATTTCGTGGTGCAATTTGGCGGCAAAACCACTCGGTTCAGAGAGCCCCAAATCATGACCATTTATCCTACGGTGCCATTTGGTGGGAAAATCGCTGGTTAGAGGACACGTATCACGTCCTTACTTGCAGGAGATTATTTCAGAATGTATCATAGTAATATTTTCGACTATGCATTAACTCAATGTGAACTGAAGTAAATTTTAATTTGTCCACGTCGACAAACTGTTGCAGAAGGTGGATGAATTTTGCTTTAAGCATTGATTGTTGAATTTCTTTTTTTAAAATATTTGAATTTGGAATTTTCTGGAATTTTGGATATTTGGATTTTGGGGATATTTGAGTATTTGGGAGGCATTTGAAATGTTTGGAATTAACCCCTCTGGTTGAGATCTACATTCAACACGGCCATCATCGTGGTGACCTTGAGGGTCATTTCTATTTGTGGATTGAACCTTGTCGACTCTGTCGCGTTATCGACACAGGATCGGGTTTCGTAGGCTTATGACTTTGTTGATGAATTTTTTTGTTAAAGGCATTGAATGTCATATATGAATATATAAAATAGATATTATGGTCGACACCCCGACCGTATATCTGTTTGATAGTTCGAGCCGTGTCAACTCCTATCGTATAGAAGGATCAGGCTCAAACTACGCTCATTTATTGACCCACGCAGCATACCTAAACATCACGTGTGTATTCAAAACACGCTCGTGGTGGCCCATGCAAGTGTTTGGGGGCATTTTATAATTATTTGTTGAACCTTATAAGCTCCTATTTACTTGCTTAGGAGGATCATGTTCAAATTTATTGACCCGCGCAACATCCCTAGACGTCACGTTGTACCCATAACATGCTCGTCGGGGCTCATGCGGGTTTTGTGATTGCACCTACCCCTTATGTACCTATATGAATACAAACTACGGTGCATGTGCGGGGCATTTTGGACATTTGACGGGTCTTTTATGATGACTCATAGAAGTTCATTTTGTAATAGTCTTTTCAGCATTTACTTGTGGATAGTATGGTGCATGCACGACCATTATTCATCGAGGAACTTGCAAGCCTCAATGATCTTATCCAACTCAATGTTCAAGACCTGGTTGAACTGAGATTCATTCACTCTATAATGATTTGATTTGACTTTCTCTTCCCAGAACGAACTCATATAGGAATTAGTGGACAACTCCTTGATTATGCCATCATCATCATCTTCAACTGTTGGCTTAAATAAAGAATCAATCATTTCAACCTTGAATGATTGTGCCATTGCTGACATTCTATACGTCAACAAAATTAATGGTTGCTGCCTCAAACGGGCATTGTAGCGATTGAAAGCGCATCGGGTCGTATAGGAGAAATATATGAGATAATCATTCCTAAAAAT